GCGCCGCGGCCGCCGGCGAGGCAACTTCGCGTGCGCCCGAGGCGGCCGGACCCGTCCCGCGCCGCGCCCGCGAGCCATGGACGCGCTGGCCCGGCTGCTGCCCGCGCTCCTGCTGCTCTGCGCGCGGCGGCCCCGCGGCACCAGGTGAGCGGCCCGGGGCGCAGCGCACGGGTGGCGGGGAGGGGGCGGGAGCTGCTCCGCGCGGGGCGCCCTCGGGCGGGGGCGGGAGTCTGGGCTGGCCCCAGACCGAGCTGCTGGGGGGAGCCGGTGCGAACCTTGGGAATCCGGACCCCGCGCCTCCCGCCCCGCGTCTCCCCCGCGGGCGCCCCTGCGAGCGCGCCCCGCCGCCTCCCGGTCGCCGACGAGGCGCCCCCGGCCCCGGCGCTGTCCCCCGTCCTGGTGCTGAACGCGGCGCCGCGGGGCGAGACCGGGCGTCGGAGCCGCTCGCGTTCTTCCCGTCCCGCCCCTGGAGAGGTCCTTGGGTCCCGGCGCTCACCGCCCGTCCCTGCCCGGCCGGCGCCCTCCAGGCGCGAAGCTGAGCGCTCGGGATGGCAGGAGCTGCAGGGAAGGAGGAAAGATCCGAGAACACAGGCGGGAGGCTGCTCGCTTTCCCGCGGGAGCTGAGCTGCCCGTGAGCTTCCTCCGCGGCCGGTGGGTCTGGGACGGGCGCGGGAGGCGCGTCCTGTGCCGCGGGGGCCGTCAAGGAGCGGCGGGCCCGCACGCCCAGGGTCCGCGATCAGGAGCCCTGGAGAACGGCAGGGACCGACTCCCAAGTGGGCAGGTGGCTGGCAGCCAGGTGCCCTTGGCAACGGGGAAGAGGCTCAGGGTTTCTTGTTAGCTACTGGGGGGCTGCCTCCCAGAGAAGGAGGAGGCTAAGGAGAAGGTCCCCTCAGCCGAGCTCCCTCCCTCTGGCTTCCAGCCACCACACAGCCCCCACTTGCTACCCTCCTCTGGGGATGAGAAACGGGCTCCCAGGTCACCTAGGCATGTGGGGTCCCAGTGCTGAGCCTGGCCACCTTGCATGGGAGGAGGGAGAGGCCAGTCAGGGGCCTTTTTGCAAATTACCTCAGTGCAAGGGCTGCAGGAAAAAACAGCACAGACAGGTCCCCCAGCATTGTGGATTTCGTGCACACTGAAGACTGCTAGGGACCAGAAAGGGCTGAACTTCCCCCTGTGTCCTGGCTGTGGGCACTCAGGCTGAACGCTGGGGCGGGGGTGTCTGGGTTCTCTGTGGGTGGGTCCAGCTGGGACGTGGCATCAGGCTGGAGGCCACGGGTCATCGCTCTGCGCAGCCCCTGTCCTCGGAACAGCTCTGTTCTGTCTTCAGTCCCGGTGGGCCCTTCTCCTTTTCCTCTCCCCACTTCCAGACAGTGGGGGGGGAGGGTAGCACTGAGATGTGGCCACGGATGCAGGCGCTGGAGGTGCTGGGACAGTGCCAGCCCTGGCCCACAGCCACTTAGCCAAGGGTGTGATATTGAAATGGCTCCGAAACCCCAAAGTTTTAGCCCAAGTTCGACACCAGCACTCCTTTAGTGGCAAACCCTGCCCTGTGCTGACAACCCTGATTGTCTGTATTTATCCTCCTTCCAGGGCCCGTGTATACATTCCCTGCTGGGAAATTCTCCAGACCCCCCCAAGTCTGCAGATGCACCCTATCCCCATTCTAAAATCTGAAAAATTCTGAATCCTGACCTGCGTCTGGCTCCTGGGGGCTGGTGAGGTCTTGTGCACTGTTTCCCTGGGCAGGAAAGCTGGCCGGAGGGCGCCTCTGAGTCGTCGTCGTGTCCGTCCCTGGAAGGGGATGCGGCGGGCGCCCTGCACGGTGGTGGGTGCGCTGCGTGCTGAGCTCCTTCTCACTCTCTAATTAAAAATAGTTACCATCTTGCTCCATTTTAAAGTCTCTCCTTTTAGATGATTGCATGCGTGTGTGCTGGGCTCGACCTCCTGGTCGTGACTTTAGCCTGGCAATGACGCCGCCTGGGGAGGGTCTGAAGGAGCTCCCCCAGGTGGAAGCAGCTGCTGGCACAGCCCTTGGTGACAACCTTCAAACTTAGCAGGGTGCGTCCCATCAGGGTCTGTGTCCCCTCCACTTAGAAACCAGGACAGCTGCTCTCCCTCCTTCCCTCCCTCAGTTTTTGGGTCCAGTCCCTGGAATGGTGTCAGAGGACCATGGGAGCCACTCTGGCCGACACTCCTTAATCCAGATCCCAGCAGCCCCTAGTGGGAGAGGCTTGGGGGGTAAGAAGGGCGCACTCGGCCCGGAGCCTGAAGACCTGCACACAGGGCTGAGCTCGCCGACTGTGTGCCTACGTGGGTGGCCCTCCAGGGCTGCAGCACCTCCTCTCCCTGGGAAAGCTGTGCCGCAGCTCCCACCTCTCCAGCGTGAGGTGCTCCTCCTTGCCTTGGTAACTGAGATGCCAGTGCGGCTTGTGTTGCTCTAAAAGCAGAGCTGTCAGGATCGTGGGCTTGTGTGTGCGCGGTGGAAAGATGCTCGGAGGGAGGAGGATCCATTGCCTCGCTCAGCTACACCCACCCTCTCTTTCTGTTCTCGGAAGCAGAGACCAGTGACGGGGTGGGCTTGTTTCTCAGCAGGGCCGAGAGGGGAGGAGGCCTGGTGACTCACCAAGAGCAGCCCAGGTGGACACTGCATGTCCTGGTGCCCACTCTGCCCCATGGGTGTAAGTCCTAAATCCAGGTGTGGACTTGGAGCCTGGCGCATGTCTCTGAGCTTCTCTGTCCATCTACGCAGAGGAAACCCAAACCCAGGCTGACGCGGGGCCCCAGGGCCACCAGCTGAGCCGGCAGCTCCCTCCTAAGCTCTCTGACTTAGCCATCAGAGCCCAGCGCCCTGCCCCAAGACCAGCTCCCTAAGTGCAGAGTCTGTGCCCGCCTGCCCCGTTGGTTCTGCTGCCCTGTGACAGAAAGGGCCCTTCGGGGCCCAAGTCTGGCATGAAGCGCACCCTCCCCGCGCCGTCCTCTCTGGCCACTGCTGGGAAGTGGCCGGCCACCGTGCTAGGTGAGAAACGACGTGGGGCTTCGCAGCCTGCTCTCCTCTTGCCCCCAGCAGACGGCGAAGGCTGTCCTCCCGGCACGCGGCCACTGCAAGGGCAGCTTCCTGACCGGGGCTTGCTCCTGGCCCTGCCCCTCACTCTGCCAGCGGGCCTGGGACTGGGGCGGAGGGACGGGGCACACATGTGCCTCCACTCTGAGACAGGCGAGCCACGCGGCCCAGGAAGGACGGTGTCTCCTGATGGCCTCGTTCCGGGCAGGCTGGATGGCAGCTGGGCTAGTCCAAAAATAAAGTCTCCTTCGAATCCTTTACATCTGACCTTCAGGGTGTCATTTTGCATTTTTAATTGTGCTTTACTCAGGCCAGGACTTAATTTAATTCCGTCTTATTTAGACTTTGTTACCAAAGCACCCGCCCTCTCGCCAGCCCTGCGCCAGGCCCCGGTGCGGGCCAGTGGGGGCCGTGTCTGTCTGGGGTGGACGGCAGCCCCAGACCTGCCTGCAGTGGCTCCTCCTGCCTGGGATGGGGCAGCTCAGGAACTTCTAGTTCAAGGTCAACCTCTTCAAAAGGCCAGGGAATGACACAAGAAGAGAAGCGGTCCAGGTCAGAGGGGTGGGCTGGGCTCCCCACCGCAGGCGCCTCCCCAGCCCAGGGGGCCCTTGGGGGCTTCCAGGGCCCACCTGAGTGTGAGGTGCCAGGAGGGTGGAGGGTTCTGTCTGGGAGGACGCAGGGAAGGGCAGGGGTGTGTGTGCCGTTCCCAGCGGCACTGCCCGTCAGTTCCCCGAATCCAGAACTGTCTGTTTAAAATGTGAATAGGACCCTGTTGCTCCTTGGGGTCCCCCACTTACCCTGGCGCACAGGGCCCTTGCACCCCCACCTCTGCCCTCCTTGGGTCCTCGTATCCTTTTCCTTTGGGCTCCAATGTGGCTTCCTCGGGGCTGTAAGTTCTCCCCGCCTGGGGTCGTGGCCCCCTGCCTGTCACACGAAACACACCTGCTTTGCTGCTCCCCACGGGACTTGGACCTCTGTGGGGACCTGGCTGCAGCCCTCTGTTCGTGGCCCAGTCGCGTCCCTAGACCGGGGCGGGCACCCACGTTCACCCCACGGACGTTTGCCACCCTGGTGGTTGGGAACAGCTTCCTAAGGGGCCTGGGGCTGCATCTCACGCAGGACTGGAGGCGAGGGAGGCTTGGGTGGCAGAACCGGCTTTCGGGAATGAGGTGGGAGGGGCCGGAGGCCTGGGGTCGAGCCCCATCTGGGCGGAGGGGGCAGGAATTGCGTGGCAGTTGCTGGGTCTGGGGTGCTGGGGAGGAGGAGGGGTGCAGGGAGAGGCTTGGACGGGGCACTACCTGGCCCTGGGGGAGCAGTGGGGCCTGAGGAGCTACAGCCGGAGAGACAGGGTGGGCCAGGCTGCAGCACCCGCCACGGGGAGCAGTCGGCAGGGTAGTGGAGAGCGGGGCGTGGAGGGGTGTGGCTGGGGGAATTGAAGTCTTCTCTCAGTGGCCTGGCGGGGTGGCCCAGCGTGGGGCGCCAGGCTTGAGGCCGTGTCTGAATTGGGCCGAGTCTGTCTCTAGGCTTGCGGGGAGCGGGGGCCAGATCCTGAGCCCTCACCTCTCCCTCAGGGGTCAGGCCTCGTGCCCCAGAGGGCTGTGCTCAGGGCCCCCCGGGACTGGCCTCCCCCATGGGCAAGACCGTGTGTGCTTCCCGCGTCTGCCGTAACAAATGACCACAGACTGGTGGCTTAGAACAAGAAGTCTGTTCTCTCCCAGCTCTGCAGGTCCAAAGTCTGAAACCAAGGCATGGGCCGGGCCGGTTCCCTCGGGAGAGTCTGCCCCAGGCCCTCCCCGCTTCCGGGGGCTGGTGGCTTGTGGACGCATCACTCCCGCCTCTGGCTCCGTCGCCATCCTGTGGCTCCTTCCCTGTGTCTCTGTTTTCTCTTATGAGGACACGGGCACTGGCTTTAGGGCCCAGCCTAATCCAGTGTGGCCTCATCTTCACCAACTACACCTGCAAAGACCCCGTTTCCAGATAGCCTCACATTCTGGGGTTGAGGGTGGACGTGAATGTCGGGGGGTGCCGTTCCTCCCAGTCCAGTGAGCGGGGGGCTGTGGGGGCTCTGGGGAGCTCCGTGCTCTGGCAGCGCCGTATGTGGGGCCCAAGATGCCTCCCTCATGTTGCCGCTTTGAGCCACACGTGGGCACCCCTGTGGCCCTGCCCAGGACGGGCAAGACGGGCACAGGCTGAGCCTAGAAGTACATGGCCACTCGGGGCCCAGGGGACCCGGCCTGGGCCTTCCTGGAGCGGACAGAGAACAGGAGGCGCTGGGCCCTGGCACCCTGCCTGCCTGTGACCCACCGGCCTTGCATTCCCAGAGCGATGAATGACATTGGTGACTACGTGGGCTCCAATCTGGAGATATCCTGGCTCCCCAACCTGGACGGCTTGATGGCCGGCTATGCCCGTAACTTCAGGCCTGGCATTGGAGGTGAGGGCAGCCACCCAGGGCCGGGCAGGCAGGCCCTGCTGGAGCCCGGGCTGCGCTCTGGGCTGGCAAAGGGGCCCAGTCTCCACCTGGCCTCTATCAGGCCCCCGATGGGGACAGCTGGGAAGGTGGAGGCCGAGCTCCCCAGGTGCCTGGTGTTCTCCCCGATCCGGCCTCCCCGGGCTCCTGCGGGTGGAGCGCCTGGCCTGGCAGGACAGCCAGGGGTGCTGGGCCGGAGCCCACGCTGGGGCCACCTCAGCCCCTCCTGGGGCCCCACTCCTTCCTTGCAGGCCCCCCTGTGAACGTGGCCCTGGCCCTGGAGGTGGCCAGCATCGACCACATCTCGGAGGCAAACATGGTAGGTGCCCGGCCAGCCGCTGCCCCCGGCCCCGCGCCCCGAGGAGCAGAGCGAGGGCCGAGCGCTGCACCGCCCCCCCACAGGAGTACACCATGACCGTGTTTCTGCACCAGAGCTGGCGGGACAGCAGACTGTCCTACAACCACACCAACGAGACGCTGGGCCTGGACAGCCGCTTCGTGGACAAGCTCTGGCTCCCCGACACCTTCATCGTGAACGCCAAGTCCGCCTGGTTCCACGACGTGACCGTGGAGAACAAGCTCATCCGGCTGCAGCCGGACGGCGTGATCCTGTACAGCATCCGGTGAGCCGGGCCTGCCCCCCGGGCCTGGAGGGAAGCCCAGCGGGCCCAGCGCCGGCTCCCGGGACCCTCCGCGGCTGGAGAAAACTGAAGAGGCTTCTGCCGGGAGCTGGGCTGGGGCCGGGCAAAGCTATTTATATCCCCGCAGCCGGCAGCTGCTCGGGGAGCATCCGCTCCAAGGTTGCCGACGGGAAGCCAACAGATGTGGCTTTTTGGCCAGCACGGTGCCTTTTCGTTTTTTTTTGAATGGGGTGAAATCCGCATAGCATAAAATTAACCGTTTTAAAGTGAGCAATTCGTTTGCGCTTTTAGCAGATTCACCGTGTTGTGCAACTCCACCTGTGTCTAGTTCCAGAACATTCCATCTCCCCGAAGGAGACCCTGTACCCACTGAGCAGTCACTCCCCGCTCTCCTCCCCCTGGAGCCCCACAACCGCCGATCTGCTTTGTCTGTGGATTCGCCACTCTGGACATTTCACGTAGATGGAAGCACACGCTATGTGGCCTCTTGCATGTGGCTTCTGTCACTCCGCGTGATGTTTTCGGGGTCCGTCCCCCACGTGGCCTGTATTCGTTCCTCTCTGTGGCCGGGTGGTATCCACCCGCCCTCCCGTCCGTCCGACCCCTGTGGGGGGCACTCAGGTGGCTTCCGCCTTCATCAACTGCGAATAGCGCGGCTGGGGGTGCGGACACGTGTGTTTGTGTTAATGCTTGTTTTCAGACACACGCCTTTTAAAAATGGAATTTGTCGACAACTTTTGAAAAATCAGAAGGTTTTACATAAGAACCTACATGTCTGGTCTCTCCTGGAAAATCACAGCTCTTGGCAGCTCTGGGCCTGTCCCCAGGCTGCTGCCAGCGTCCCCTGGGCCAGCGCCTGGGGTGCTCAGGCTGGTCCCTGCCTCCTGGGCTGCCATCTCAGTCAAATAGTCGAGTGTTTTGAACAATGAAGAGAATGAGTGAAAGGCAGTCTTTTTTTTTTTTTTTTGAGACAGAGTCTCGCTCTGTTGCCCAGGCTAGAGTGAGTGCCGTGGCGTCAGCCTAGTTCACAGCAACCTCAAACTCCTGGGCTCAATCAATCCTCCTGCCTCAGCCTCCCGAGCAGCTGGGACTACAGGAACGCGCCACCATGCCCGGCTAATTTTTTTTTCTATATATTTAGTTGTCCAGACAATTTCTTTATATTTTTAGTAGAGACAGGGTCTCGCTCTTGCTCAGGCTGGTCTCGAACTCCTGAACTCAAATGATCCACCCGCCTCGGCCTCCCAGAGTGCTAGGATTACAGGCGTGAGCCACCGCGCCCGGCCGAAATGCAGTCTTGATAGTCCTAAAGAAAGACCACAGATGTCTATAAAGTTGGCCACAGTGTTCGGGTTTTACCCAGAGGCTGGCAACTTGCAAACAAAGCCTCAGCGGGAGCTGGGGCCCCAGGCGCCCCCAGTGAGCAGGGGGCAGGGCAACTGCCAGGTTTCTGGGGGCCAGCCTCGCCACGCGGGCCTCACTCACCTGCGTGCGTGTCTGGGCAGGATCACCTCCACAGTGGCCTGCGACATGGACCTGGCCAAGTACCCCATGGACAAGCAGGAGTGCATGCTGGACCTGGAGAGCTGTGAGTGGATGCTCGGGACGGGCGGGCTCCTGTCTGGGAGGGGTTCTCCAGCGGGCAGCCGGGCCTGGACAAGGCTGGCCTGGTGCAGGGGACAGGGAAGCACCTGGGATAGGCTTCTGCTCGAGCAAGGAGCCTGGGCGGGAGAAGAAGGGGCCGCAGAGCCTGGAGCGGCTCAGCCGTAGTCAGCGCCCTGCCCGGGGAGCTGGGCTGGGGAAGCCAGACACACACAGGCCCGTGTCGCTGGGCTGGCCTGGCAGGCCCCTGTGTCGCCCGGCAATGGTGACCCCACCCTTGCCCCATCCACCTGCCTGGAGGTGCCAGGTGTGGTCCCAGAGCCTGGACGGGCCTCCTGCGGGGGCCGCGGGGGGGGGCCAGGCTGTGCCCACCTGCCGGCTCCCCGCAGACGGCTACTCCTCTGAGGACATCGTGTACTACTGGTCGGAGAGCCAGGAGCACATCCACGGGCTGGATAGGCTGCAGCTGGCTCAGTTCACCATCACCAGCTACCGCTTCACCACCGAGCTGATGAACTTCAAGTCGGGTAACGCGCTGCGTGGCCCCTTCCTTGTGGGCGGCCCGTGCTGTTCTCCTGAGTTTACTGGAGCCACCAGCGGCTCGGAGGGCCCCGAGGGCGCGGCTGGAAACCGCTGACCTGGGAGCCTGCTGCCCCGCGCAGGCCGCACCGGCACCAAGGGCCCTGAGGTGCACCGTGAGGACACGGGTCGGGGTTTCCCTGTCCTTCCTGGTCCTTCCTCACTCCCAGCAATGCAGGTTTGGGGGAGCCCGAGGGTGCGGGGGCTGACTCTAGGCCTGCAGGGCTCAGGGGCCAAACCTGCCCCGCCCCCTGTCTTCTGGCCCCTCCTCCCCTGCCGCTGCTGCTGGCCCGGAGCCCGGAGCCGGTGGGCCGGAGCGTGGCCAGCCGGGCACAGGGGGGCCGGAGAGAGAGAGGTAGGCCCTCCCCGCTGGCCCGGGCCCCAGGGACAGCTCGGCAAGGTTGGGAACAGCAGTGATGCTGGACTCCTCCTCCCCTTTCCCTCTGGGTGACCCGCACGAGCCCCCCAGGCGGTGTGGGCTGGCGGGGGAGGCCGGGGCCCAGGGTCTCCCTTCTGAGCCTGGCAGCGGCCCCCAGGGCCCACCGAGGCCCCTTCTCCCCTGGAGTCCCACGGGCCGGGGCGGCAGGGAAGGCCGGTCTGACTGTGGCCGTCCGGGCAGCCGGCCAGTTCCCTCGGCTCAGCCTGCACTTCCACCTGCGGAGGAACCGGGGCGTCTACATCATCCAGTCGTACATGCCCTCCATACTCCTGGTCGCCATGTCCTGGGTCTCCTTCTGGATCAGCCAGGCCGCGGTGCCTGCCAGGGTGTCTCTGGGTACGGCCCCGCCTTCTCCCGGGCCCTCGGGCTGGACCCTGACCCCGTCAGCCTGTGCCCCCCGGTCCCCGCACCGTCCTGGGGTGGGCTGGCAGACCCTCCCTGTTGCTGGGGCTGGTGGGGAGTGGCGGCTCCAGCGGTGGCTCTGCCCGCCCCAGGCATCACCACGGTGCTGACGATGACCACGCTCATGGTCAGTGCTCGCTCCTCCCTGCCCCGGGCGTCGGCCATCAAGGCGCTGGACGTGTACTTCTGGATCTGCTACGTCTTCGTGTTCGCTGCCCTGGTGGAGTACGCCTTTGCACACTTCAATGCCGACTACAGGAAGAAGCAGAAGGCCAAAGTCAAGGTCACAAAGCCGAGGGCGGAGGTGAGAGGGCGGAGGTGAGGCCGGGTGAGCGGGCACCTGTCAGGGATCAGAACCAAGGTCGGCCCCACCTGGCTCCAGGGCGGGCAGTACCCTGGCCCCAGCCAGGACCCTGCGGAGGTCACCTGCGGCCCGGCCTGCGTGGGTCATAGTGGTGCTCGCCGAGCACTGGGGGCTGAGCTGCTGCCCAGGCAGGGGCCTGCGTGGGAGCCCCCGCGGCCCCGGAGCTGTGCTGCGACGCTTGGCCCCCCCCGCCCCATGCAGATGGACGTGCGGAACGCCATCGTCCTCTTCTCCCTCTCCGCCGCTGGCGTCACCCAGGAACTGGCCGTCACCCGCCGGCAGTGCCGTGTGCCCGGGAACCTCATGGGCTCCTACAGGTCGGTGGAGGTGGAGACAGGCGAGACCAAGGAGGGGGGAGCCCGCTCGGGCCAGGGCGGCATCTGCGCACGGTTCAGGCCCATCGACGCGGACACCATCGACATCTACTCCCGCGTCGTGTTCCCTGCGGCGTTTGTGGCCGTCAATGTCATCTACTGGGCGGCGTACACCATGTGAGGGCGTCTCACCTCCTTGGCGGTCCTGCTGCCGGGAGGTGCGCCAGGAACTCCTGGAGGAAGGACCCTGGGATCGGCCTGCCCTCTGCGAGCTTCAAGGTGACGACGACTGGCCCCGTGAAACAGGAGGAAGCCTTGGCCCTGAGCCGGGCCCCCAGCCTTGCCCAGAGACCAGCCTGGGGTCCTGCGCAGGCACAGGAGGCCGGGTGCCGGCAGAGCGGCAGAGCCAGGCCCGGCGCCGGCCCTTGGGGAGTTGTGAATTCCTAGACCCAGTCGGCGATCCTCATCGCCAGGTCTCTGAGCCATGGGATTGGGACCAGCGGCGGGAGGAGGCGGGACAGACATCTGCCCTGGTGCGAGGGCGGAGAAGGCCTTCGGGAGGCTCTTTGGCTCCAGCATGAAATAAAGCTCCGGCCCGTGGCCGGTTCTTTGTTGCTACGGCTGCAGCGATGCGTCCTGTCTGGCTGCTGGGAGCACCGTCCTCCCACTGCAGGCTCCGTGGGTGGCATTGGGTGGAGCAGTCGTGGAAGCCACGGAACACTCAGGGCTGGACACGCACCCAGCACAGGGAAGCAGCGGGGCGGGGTCCCAAGAGGGAGGTTGCCGCTGCCCGGAGGACAGGGCTAGCGGAGAGAGCCTCGGGCAGGACAGGAGCCAGCGTAGGGGACACTGGCTTCAGGCAGCTGGTCTCCTCGTCCATGTCACTGGGCTATGATGGGGCCATTTTCTCAAGTGGGGACACAGGTCCAGGGTAATGGGACAGCACACTGAGCTCGTGGGCAAGGAGGAGGGAGCTCAGGGCTGGCTGGTCCCAAAGACACATGCTTTTGAGACGCCTCCCTGAGATCCTGGGACTCCACACCCAACTTGGGGACAGAGACTCGGGGACAGAGGCTCAGGACAGACTTGGGGACGGAGGCTCAGGCAGAGATGTGCGGACACAGGGCTCAGAGGCTGCGTCCCAGAAGAGCCATGGTGTCTGAGGTGTTCAGGGCAGGGTGGGGGTGCAGGCACCAGGAGGGGTTCAAGGACTCGCCCACGCTTGGGCCCTTGCTGGGTTCCCGGGGCCCCGGGTGCCACTGTGGTGCCCTCTTGGATGTGCTGATGGGAACTCGGGCCACCAGCCCCACAAACACCCCACAGCCCTTCCCCACCCGCTGCCACCAACATGGACGCTGGGTGACAACCCTGCAGCCCGAGGACCCTGCAGTCACTGGGGTGTCTGACAGGCAGCTCTTAATAAGGGGGCCTAGATTTTCCATGGCACTGGGTCATTACACGCGCAGGAAACAAAGGGTGCAATTAGAACATGTGTTCAGGCTCTGCCGCCTGCTGCAGAATGCAGCCCACCATGCCAGAGCAGGGTGGCAGCCTGGCCATGGCGGGCACCAGTGGGTCCCCACTCCCACTGCCACTAGGGACCTTGATGGTGGCATGTGAGCCACACGCCCTCAGGCGACCTGGCCTGCAGCGGCCCCAGTGGGCTTCGCTGGCAGAGTGATGGCCTCCACCGGGGCGGGGGGCGGGGGGGCGCCCAGGTGTTCTGCCCGGGGCACCGGGCCAGGCCACAGCTGAGGGCGAGGAGGGCCCCGGCCTCTCCGCCCAAACCACGGCCTAGGACTCCCCCTCTCTGCCTCCGCTCAGAGACCCCTCACCTCCTAGCGAGCCTCCTGCAGCCTGGCTGCCCTTTGGGCCCCTGCTCTAAAGGAGGAGGCTGTGGGACTTGGCGGGGTTGTCCCAGGGGGTGGGACGGGCCAGGGACCGGGGTGGTACAGCCTTGCCGCAGTGGACCTCGGGGTGAGCAGAGAGCAGGTGGCCGAGGAGCAGCTGAGCGGGGATCTAGGTCAGCCGGGGCTCCGGGCCACCCGCGGACAGCAGGGCAGCCAGGCCCGGCCGGTCCCTGTCCACTGAGGCAATGTCCCTGTGGAGGCCGCTCTCCCCTTCCCACCTCCACCCCTCTGCTCCCGGGTCCCCCTGCAGGGTGGCTGTTCCCTCTGCCTGGGAACCCAGAGAGCTGTCCAGGGGCGGGGCCCACGCCCCCTATAGTGCAGGACTGTCCCCCGCTGCCTCTGCCCCGGCCACCAGGATCCCGCCCCAGGGAGGGGCCTGGACCCACGGATGGCCGGCGGAGCCCTCTGCTGCCGGGCCCTGCCCCCCCGCCCGCCTCTGCCCTCTTTCTCCTGCCTGTGCCCACGAGGAGCTATTTAAAGCCGGCCTTTGTGACTGCCTGGCACCCACGCAGCCAGGCCCACCCAGGCAGCGGCAGTCACACCCGCCGCCTGCGGCTGCCGCTGCCCACGGACTTCAGGCCAGGAGAAGGGACGGCAGGGCTGACGCCTTTGAAACGCCGACTTCTGTTCCGGCAGTGATGACAGAAGCAGGCCGAAGGCCGGTGAGGGGCACAGCGCACAGCGGAGAGGAACTGCGTGGGGAGGAGCTGCAGGGTCTCCACTGCAGGGGTACCTGCCACAGAGGTCGGCGGGCGGGGAGGCGACGGGGCTCCGTGTGCGCCTCATCCCGGCAGGGACAGGCCCTTGGGTCCTGGCGGCTTCCTGGTCTGCCAGAGGCTGGACTGAGTGTCTGAGCAGGGACTCCTAGAGGCTCCCGAGCGCCAGTCCGCTCTCCCCCAGGCCAGAGGCTGGCGGTGGGGGCGAGGGCGGCTGGTGTCGGGGAGGGGGCTGCGGCGAATGCCGACCGTGCCCAGGTGTCTGCCCTGGACCCCCAGGTGAGGCCGGCAGGCACACACCTGGGGGTCCTCCTTCGACTTCCTCATAAGCAGAACCTGAGACAAGCACCTGGGTGCCGGGAGTTAGCCTGGGAGGGGGTTCCTCAGGCCGTCGTGGCAAAGTTCCACAAACGTGGAGACTTAAAACGGCAGAAATCTGTTCTCTCCCGGTCTGGAGGCCAAAAGTCCCAAACCCAGGTGTGGGCCAGGCTGGTGGCTCTGGCAAGGACCCTTACCAGCCCCTCCTAGCTCCTGGTGCTGCCAGCAGCCCTTGGCCTTCCTTCGCTGTGGAGCTGGTCCCCCCGGCCGTTCCTTCCTGTCCCCTCTGCTCGTATGGGCACCTGTCGCTCGGCTCAAGGCCACCCCCTTCAGAACGACCGCACCTTAACTAGCCGCATCTGCGGAGACCCTGATTCCACGCAAGCTCACGCTCCGAGGTCTCGGGTGCACGTGAACGTGGTGGGGGTGGGGGCCGATCCACTCAGCACCGAGGGCGGCTGAGCCCAGAGACAGAGTGACAGAGTGGGGAGCAGGGGCAGGGGAGAGGAGCAGGCGGGGAGCCCCCAGAGCCTCCTGGTTGTCCTGAAGGTGGGCGGCTGGGGCTCCCACCCCACTGCCCCTGCCGCAGGCTGCGCACAGGGCCCGGGCGTGCTAGCGGTGGCACTGACGGCACACAGGTCTGTCCCCCGCGGCCACTGGCTTTTTTTTTTTTTGAAACAGACTCACTTCCTCGCCCCAGGCTGGAGTGCAGTGGTGTCATCACAGCTCACTGTAGCCTCAAATTCCTGGGCTCGAGCGATCCTCCTGCCTCAGCCTCCCAAGTAGCTGGGACTACAGGCGTGTGCCACCGTACCCGGTTAATTTTTGTATTTTTAGTAGAGACAGGGTCTCGCTCTTGCTTAGGCTGGTCTCGAACTCCTGAGCTCAAGTGATCCCCCCGCCTCAGCCTCCCAAAGTGCTGGGATTCTGGGTGTGAGCCACCGCGCCTGGACAAGCTGCTTAAACCGGAGGCAGCCCTAGGTGCCGGCTCGCTGCTCACGTCTGCACGGGCGAGCTCCGTGCTAAGCGCATCTGTGGCTGATTCTTCGTGGTGGTGGTGGTCACAGCAGCAACAGCAAGGCCACAAAGACCCCGGAGGGTCTGCGGGTGTCCCCAGGCAGGAGGCCATCACTGCCCCCAAGCCGCGCTCTGCCGGCACTCCTGCTGGCCTAGGCTTCCTGGGATGCCCGACCCGGTCCCCGCAAGGGCTGTGTCTCCGTCGCCTTGCCTGGCAGGCTGCAGCGGCCCCCTCTGCGGCCCCCGGACCTGGGAGCCCCGGAGGTGAACACCGTGCTCCGGGTGTTTTCCCTGCCCCCGCAAGGCCCTCTCTAGCTAGTCAGGTCGCCCCACCAGGGCAGCCACCCCTGCCCGTGCCCGCTGGTCCGCCAGCGCGAGCGCCCCACACTGAGCCTCACTCCCGACAAGGACCAAGCGGACGAGGCAGGGGACAAGGGCAGTTTCGGAGACGTTGGCTCGGCCTTTTCTGCCGTGGCAGCTCTTACTCCACGGGTTCAGGAAGGGACCTGGGGACCAGGACACAGCCCAGGCCGGGTCCGCAAACCCACTGGCCGACTGCGAGGTGCACGTACGTGGCCAGGACTGCTTTTATCACGTGGTCTCTGTGAGCCACCAGCACGCCTGGGGCTACGATGGCATTCAGGGTCCCTTGGCGGTGGTGTCCACTCAGACCCTGTATCCGAAAGTCCTCCTGACTGTGGGTGTCCTTTCTCCAGGGCACGGTGACTCTGACGATGGCAGCAGGAAGAGGCTCGGGGGTGTCCTCGTCACGTGTGTGTGCGGCAGTGCAGGTCCTTCCCGAGGGACCGAGCCTCCCACACCAAGAGGGCTCTGGGTCTGAGGACAGGCTCCGATCGGGGACCGAGAGTCTCGGTTCCCCACTGCCTTTGCCGTCAGCCTCGTCTTCCTGGCACGTGGGGGTTTCTGGTTACGCAAGTCAAGCAGCCCGAGGTGGCTGCCGGCTCATCCACTGCAGGGACACGGCAGGCCACGAGTCACAGGTCCCCGTGGTTCAAGGCACCTGGTTTCCCCGTGGACATGCCCCGTTGCGTAGCTGCACCTGCCTCGCCTCTGAGGGTTAGCGCAGCCACGCCACTCCACTTCCGGACCTCGGTGGCATTTCCCCCCACTGTGAACGCTGGTGCACGGCTCGGCCAGGCCTGAGTGACGCTGGGGCCCTCGACTGGCACCTCTCGCGTTGCTCCGGGGCGGGCTTGTCTTCCGGACCCTCCTGGGGCCCAGCGGGAGGTGGTTCCCGCGGTCTCACTCCAGTGGGCCCAGTCCCGAGCCTCGGACCTGTCAGGCCGTTGGGGCTGCCAGGACGCGGCACCGCAGACCGGGCATCTCACGCTTACTGCCCAGGTTGCGGAGGCTGCAAGCCCAAGACCAGGGTGCAGCACGGCGGGTTCTGGCGCGAGCCCTTGCTGGGCGCAGACGGCTGACTTCTCGCTGCACCGCGAGTGGCAGAAAGACGCGGGCTTCTCG